CCCCGTCCGTCATCAAGATCGGTTCCGCCAAGCCCGCCGAGGCCGCCAAGCCCGCCGAGGCCGCCAAGCCCGCCGAGGCTGCCAAGCCCGCCGAGGCCGCCAAGCCGGCTGAGGCCTGCAAGGCTGCGGATGCCGCCAAGCCCGCGAAGGCCGAGCCGACCATCCACCTGAGCAAGGAGGATCTGGAGGATGTCAACCCCGATGATGTTCTTCCCCCCACCAAGGATCAGGTGTGCATTGTCTTCGTTGGCCACGTCGACGCTGGCAAGTCCACCATGTGTGCCCATCTGCTGTGCGTCTCCCTTGTATACATCCCCCCCCCCTTTTATTATTGGGCACTTTCTTCGCCTTTTGCCCCATAGCTCACCCTGGCCCGTGTAACCAACTCCCTTTCCCCCTTTCACCGCCTGCACCTGCGCAGCCTTGAGATGGATCAGATTGACAAGCGCGCCTGGGAGAAGCACCGCGCCGAGGTCTCCGAGAAGGGCAAGGATGCCTGGCTCTTCGCCCTGGCTCTCGACACCAACCCCGAGGAGCGCGACAAGGTGCGCTTTTTTTTTTTGCCGCACACTTCCGACGGGGTCCATGCGCTCTCCCTCTTTGGCTTCGCAAACAACTCACCACGTCCTCTCCGGCACATGCCGCGCACCTGCCACCGCATGTAGGGCAAGACCATCGACGTCGGGCGCAGCTCCTTCGAGACCGAGAAGAAGCGCTACATCGTGCTGGATGCCCCGGGCCACAAGGCCTACGTCTCCAACATGATTGGTGGTGCCTCGCAGGCTGACGTGGCCATCCTGGTCATTTCGGCCCGTCGTGGTGAGTTTGAGGCCGGGTTCGACAAGGCCGGGCAGACTCGCGAGCACATCCTCCTGTGCAAGTCCACCGGTGTCAAGAAGCTCATCGTTGCCATCAACAAGATGGACGACGAGACCGTCAACTGGAGCATCGAGCGTTACAACGAGATTGGCAAGAAGATCACCCCCTTCCTTCGCTCTGTCGGCTTTTCCTCTGCCGGTACGCACGCCTCGCTCCTCGCTTCCTCCTCGCCCCCCCCCCCCCCCCTCTGAACTCCAGTCACCTTGCCCCCCCCCCCCCCCCCCCCCCCCCCCCCCCCCCCCCCCCCCCCATCGCTGGCCATGCATTTGTTGCGGCTTGGTGCCGTGCTCTCCTCTCTCGCCCTCTCTCTCTCTCTCTCCCGAGCTTTGCCTGGGACCCCCTCTCACCCATGCATCGACCGCCACTTTCTCCTCTTTCCCTTCTGCCGTACACACAGACGTCACCTTCATCCCGACCGCCGGCTTCCTCGGCTTCGGCCTGAAGAACCCGATCCCCGGTGGCCCCGGCTCTGGCGAGTCGCACCCGTGGACCGGCGATCGTGAAACCCTCCTCGGTGTTCTGGATGGCTTCGAGTCCTTCAAGCGCCCGGTCCACCAGCCGCTGCGTATCATTCTGAACGAGAAGTTCCGCGATATGGGTATGGTTGTGTCCGGCCGTGTGGAGGGTGGCTTCGTCCGCATGAACCAGAAGGTCCTGATCATGCCGAGCCGTGTACGTGTCTCCCACCGAGTGTCGCCATGTGCGCACCTGACGCACTCTGTATTCCAGCGCATGCCTAACCAACGGGCGCCCCCCCCCCCCCTCCTCCCCCTTTTCGTCGTCCCTTTGCATTGCAGCATGTTGCTGAGGTTTCCGGCATCAGCATCGAGGAGGAGGAGACCGAGTTCGCCAAGGCCGGTGACAATGTCCGCCTGCGTCTTCGTGGTGCTGAGGAGGAGGTACGCATGCGCATGAGCCCCCCCCCCCCCCCCGCGTCTCTCTCTCTCGGGTGTTTTTCCTTTCTGCCCCTCCCCATGAAACTGCCTGTGTATCTTTGTCTCACCATTTTCCCCGATGGCCTTGTTGCTCGCCTGCCTCTTCTTGCGCCTCCCCCAGGACATCTACCAGGGCTCGGTCATCTGCCACCCCCGGTACCCTGTTCGTTCTGCCAAGCAGTTCGCCGCGCAGCTTGTCATCCTGGACGCCAAGCACATCATCAGTGCCGGCTACCAGGCCGTCATCCATCTGCACTCGATTGTCGAGGAGATCACCATCTCCGTATGTCTTTTTTCTCAGCCCCTACCCCTCCTCTCCCCTTTTTTTTGCTTTCTCAGCCTCCCTGCTTGACAGTTTAACTCACCCCACCTTGTATCCTTCCCCAATGCGCCACAGGCTCTCCTCTACCACATCGACCGGAAGACCGGCAAGCGTCTCAAGCAGCCGCCCCAGTACCTGAAGAATGGCGATATTGCCATTGTTCGCATTGACTGCTCCTCCCCCATCTGTATGGAGACTTACGAGGAGTACCCCAACCTGGGTCGCTTCACCATCCGTGATGAGAGTGCGTAGTGTGGGCATGCACATGCTCTCCCCCTTTCCGCTCTCCTTGCCGCGGTCATCTGCCTACCTTTCTCGTTCTCTCTCTCTCTCTCTCTCTCCCCTGACACCTTTGCTGACTGCCGCCCTGGCCTTGTCTCTCTTTCCCTCCGTCGCATGTGACTGTGCCCTCGGCTTATCATCACCACAGCCAAGACCGTGGCCATGGGCAAGATCCTCAAGCTCAACACTGCCGCCGGCACGGTCTCCTCGACGGACGACAACTAAGCAGGCTCCGCCCCTTGGTGACCAGCCGCTGCTGGGTCCCCTTTCCCTTCGCGCATCGAGAGTGCCATTTCCCGGGTGGAAGGGGGACGCACATGTGCGCGCGTGTATGCGCCCGGTCACCAGGGGGTGGGCAGTAGTCCTCTTCTCTCGCCTCCCACCCACGCCCTTGATGTCCTTCTTCCCCGTTCCCCTCCCTTCCCACCCCCACCCGCCCGTACACCCTGCCCCTCCCTCTCTCGTGCCAGCTTGATACGCAAGATGTTCCGCGTGCATATGTTCCCGAGTGTGGCGTCTTCGGTCCATTTCCGCCTCCACCACCAGAGAGCCCCCCCCCCCCGTGCCATGCATGGTGTGTTTGTGTGGACCTGGCAAGAAGCAGGGGAGGAGAGGGTGTAAGTGTGGGGAGGGTGGGGGCCATTTTTATGGTGGCTGGCCACATGCCAGCCAGCATCGTGAGCCGCATTTAGATGTGTCGTCCCCAGCATTACACAACCAAGACAGGCGGGGCATGTGTCCACCTTCCCCTTGTTGTGGCGCCCCATGTTTCTGCGCGCTTCGCTGCCCTCTCTTTTCCCCAACGCACGAATACAGTCCTAAAAAATAATGCTCTCTCCCCAACGGCGCTGTCTCTGATGTATGCTCCCCGCAGGGGTACGTCCGATTGCTCGGAGTGTACTTTCCTCCCTGCCTCTGCGTCAAGGAAACGGAAGGGGGCATCCGTCCACCGAAGTCGTTCTGATGTGTGTTTTAATCACGAGGGGCTCCAGAACAACATCGGTACGGCGCACCCTATTCTGGTACTAGGGCTGACGTTCATCCTCATCCCGACGCCGGGCTTTGTGTGGGAGTGCATGCCTGTCCCGGCCATGGAGGAGGCTGGAGGCCGAAGTCGATCTGTGACCATCTTGACCTCCCTCCGGAAAAGCAGGCACCTCTTCTTGTCCTCTCTCAGCGCAGTTTGCCATGTCTCTTGGAGCCGGCCGGCGGGCATACGTAAGAAAGTGTCTCGAGTTAGCACGGTCTTCCATAGTGTCAGCCGATCGAGGCGTCGTCCAGTCAAATGTTCTCTCTCCCCCCC